GCACAGCCCACCGGCCTCTCAGGGTTGTTACAGGGGTCTCTGTGAGAGCTCGTAAACTGTGAAGGGCTGTGCCCACGAGGGGCCGTCACAGCGGTCACCACAGCTGACCCCTCATGTCTACCTAGGTCAGGGGGTTTCCTTTGTACAGGACGGAGGCTGCCACGTAACTCCTGGAGGTGAGGGCTGTGACCTTCCCTCGTTTCCACCTGCCTGTCCCTGCCACGCACGCACGCAGCAGTGTTGGGGCCCGCGGTCGGTCGGTTGGGATGGCACAGAGACCAGGCGGGTCTCGGAAGCAGCAGATGGGCCCATCCCTCACCCAGGGCTGCGGGGGGTGGGGAGAGAGCGGCTCCTGAGTCTCAGGAACTCTGTGACACTTTCCTGCTTGTGACTGCCACGTAACCTGCCTGGGGCAGGGAGCCTATTTTTGCAGGTGTCTTCTCGTCCCCCCCCAGGATCACGAGGTCTGTTTGATCCGACTTCTCACCCCCCACCCGGGACAGGAGCTGCTAATTACACAGGCGCCTCCTTCTGGGTGGCTCAGCCTGAGGCGATCCCAGAGCCCTCCTGGCCCCAGAGAAGGTCCACACGGGCACCCCCTACCCACCGTGGGTCTCAGATGCAGATTTCAACTGTCCCCAGGAAATGGCATCCACCCAGGGATGAGCCTGGAGGAGTTAGGTCTGCTCCTTTAACTGGGGTCCTTCCCTCCCTGCTGCCGTGAAGATGTCCTTCCAGATGAAAGTGAGAACACGGCTTTGCCTTAATGAACCTCCTCGGAGAAGGCGGAGCTGGCAGATGCATCCCCCCCACCCCCACCACTGGTTTTTAACTTGATGATCTGGGAAGGCCTGGCATCTTAGAACCCTTCCTCCAAGGAGTCAAGTTCAAGCATCAGTCCCCTCACTCCAAGAAAGCCTGCTTCTAACCCAGAAGTGTATGATAATGTCCCGTAATATCACTGTCATTCCTACTGAGAAGTGGTGTTCTAAGATCCATCCCAGTTCTGCCACCGAGGTGCTGTGTGACCAGGAGGGTGACACTCACCCTCTCTGAATCTGTTTCCTCTCTAAAGCACAGCTAATAATCTATGCCGGACTCTCTCTCAGAGTGAGATGATGGCTGTAACTGTCCATTATTCACATCTGAGAAAGTCAAAAGCCTGTCGATGGGGTGGGTCATCCTCAAATAGATTCTCCATCTTCCTGCCCTCGGTCTCTCTCATCCCATTTTCATGGACTCTTAGGGCAGGCAGTCTTTATTTACTGATGTCCCCAGAAACTGCCTCATCTTCCCAAATATGTCTGGCAGGGAGGGAAAAGCCCAGTGGGTAGGACAGACAGACGGAAGGAAGGGAAGGAGCCTGCAGGAGGGGGTAAGAAGAGCAGTCTCAGGGTCGTTGGTTTAGGCCCTGTCCCCCCTGAAGACATCCCTGAGGTCCATCCGGGACGCCTCCCCAGCCTCTCTCTCCTGGAAGTGGCCTCTTTTCCTTCACAGGGACTCCCAGGACCTGAGCCCAGTGCACACAGTAAATGCTCAATAATTGTTTGTGGGACTGAATTGCAAATTCCTCTTGCTCCTCCTTCCAGACTCTAGGCTCCTCAAGGGCATGGACTGTGGTGTGTGTGTGTGTGTGTGTGTGTGTGTGTGTGTGTGTGTGTGTGTTACAGATATTCATTTCTGGAGGAGGTAGCAGTCAGGAGAAGCCAGGTTATGCTGCTGTAACAAACATCTTAATGGCTTAAAATAACAAAGATTGATCTCTTCCTCGGGTTCCTCGTCCTGCTTACTCAGGGGCCCAGGTAAATAGAAGGCCCTCTGCATGGAACTTTGCTAGTCACTGTGACACAGGGAAGAGGAGCTCTGTGGGCTCCTGCACTGACCACTAGACCCTCGGCTCAGACACTCATTTAACCAAAACAAGTCATGTTGACCTGAAGGCAACCAGAACATGTGGGCCAGACTAATGGTCAAAGAACAGCGTGACTGCCCCCGGAGGCAGCCCCTTTGGCTGGGACACGCGTGAGCTTAACTCCACACCCTGCCATTTACTAGCCAAGTCACCCTGAGCACAGCCCTTCACTGCTCTTTCCTATCCTCAAGGACATTCTTGTCCATTTTTGCAGTGATCCTAACAACCTTTGAGGCAAGAGGGCAGCTGTATGAGCCAGCTCTCCATCACTGTAACAAATGCCTGAGACAATCAACTTATAAAGACAAAAGGTTTATTCTGGCTCACAGTTTTGAAGGTTCCAGTCCATGATCCATCAGTTGGCCCTGTTGCTTTGGGGCCTGTGATGAGGCAGCACATCATGGCAGGAGCATGAGGCCGAGGAAGACCAGGCCCCTTAGAGTCAGGAAGGAAAGAGGAAGAGGAGGGTCCAGGATCCCACAATCTCCTTCATGGACACACCCCCAATGACCTAAGGACCTCCCCCAAGTCCCGCCTCTCTCTCTTTTATTTTTCTTTTCTTTTTTTTTTTTGGTACCAGGATTGAACTAGGGACACTCAACCACCGAGCCATATCCCCAGCCCATTTTATTCTTTATTTTGAGACAAGGTCTCACTAAGTTGCTTAGGGCCTCACTAAGTTGCTGAAGCTGGCTTTGAACTTGCAATCTTCCTGCCTCCGCCTCCTGAGCTGCTGGGATTGTAAGCTTGCGCCTGGCCAAGTGCCATCTTAAAGCTTCCACCATCTCCCAAGAGCACCAAGCTGGAGACCAGGCATTTAACAAAAGAGCATTGGGATCCAAACTATAGCAGCAGCCGTCATTCCCCTTATTATATAGAAAGGTAGGGCAGCTCACTGCACATTCACATCTTGCCCAGCATATAATCACTGTACGCAGCAGTTATTTAAAGCAGTAGGTGAATTTCACTGAGCACTTACTATGTGCCAGGCCGTGTTCTAAGAACAGGGATGGCACGCTGCAGTCCACTGATCACACATGGCCCACCGCCTGCTCTTGTCAACAACAGCCTCACCCATTTGTGTGTGTGCCACCTATGTCTGCTCTGCGCTAAAGCAGAGGAGTTTCCTAATTGCAACAGAAGCTATGTGGTTCCATAAGGCCCCAAATATTCACTGATTGAGAAAAAGTTTGTTAATCCTGTTCTAATCAATGTTCATGCCTGCTAATAATCGTTTTAACGTGAGTTCATGCAGATGAGAGCCCCCAACAGAGTGAACGCTGCGTGGCAGGTCAGTGCATAATCCCCATGGAGACCTGTTCCGGCTGTCACGTGTTGTCACAGCACCCTGGCTGGAGGAAGCCTTGTGAGCCAGCCCTTCAGAATGTACAGTGACTTACACCTCGTTCTCCATGTGGTTGGTTATAACACCACTGGCCTCAAATTTAAGACATATAAACCAGTCACTTACAGTGAACAGATAATGTTCGCGGCTGCAGATTGTCACCCAGCGTGTCACCCAGCGTGTCCTCGGTGTCCCCAGTCCCTGCAGGCCTCGCCCAACAGCCCAGGCTGCTCTCCCTCTGGTTCACTCTTGCAGGTCCACCCTGACCCTTGCCTAGCAGGTCCTCCAACAGAGCTCAGACCTGTCCCAGAGCATACGGCACAGGCTGCCCAGAAGACACACAGGAGGCGAACCCAAGGACCCCAGCATCGCGGGCGGACCCACCCGCCAGGCCTCGTCAGGACTGCAGAGAACTTGCCGCACAGCCTGCAGCCAGCTGCCTCCCGTGGACATGCGCAATAGCTCTCAGGGCACTAGAGACACACACTTGCTGTTCATTTTAAGCGACTGGCACACACATGTGTATACAGTGGAATATATGCACGCACAGATGCACATGTACATACATGTGTTATGTTTAAGAAACTATTTCAGGAGCTGAGCACAATGGCGCATGCCTGCAATCCCAGTGGTTCTGGAGGGGCAGAGGCAGGAGGAATTCAAAGCCAGCCTCAGCAACTCAGCAAGGCCCTAAGCAACTTAGCAAGACCCTGTCTCTAAATAAAAAATAAAAAGGGCTGGGGCTGGGGATGAGGCTCAGCCGTTGAGTGTCCCTAGGTTTAATCCTAATACCAAAAAAAAGAAAGAAAATATTTCATGCAATGAGTGTTGTGCCTAAGCAGGGTAAGGGATGGCTTTGATGGGTRTTATGAGGCTGGTACCAGTGTTATTATCCCCACTTTACTGGTCAGGGAACTGAGGCAAGGGGAGGTGACCAAAATCTGCCAGGGTCCGGAGCTGTGTCCTGAAATGCTGAACTCGGCTTAGAAGGCCAACAAGAAGGTTGACGTGTTTAACGTCATATAATCCAGCAGACGGATCACCCTGCTTTTTCCTGGTTAACTCATCTCCGACACCTGGCTACTAGATGGTTTCTCTCTAATGTTTTCCCAGACCAACCACACCCAATGTCTCCATAACCCGTGTCATCTTGGCAACATAATGACATTTGTCCAAGAGAAGGGCTCCCACGGCAGGAACCCACCCAGGGGAATTATTTGCACAAGTTCAACAGCTGCAGACTGAGAGGCAGGAAGGGAAGAGTAAGTCCTGAACTAAGGGTAAAGAAGCTGGCTCTCTGGCTAAGCTCTACCTTGCACTAGCTGTGTGTACTTGGGAAAGTCACTTACCCTCTCTGGGGGAAATGAGTATGTTTAAGTACCTGCTCCTTCAGAATGTCCCCCCTTGGGCTGGGATTGTAGCTGCGTGGGGAAGCTCTTGCCTCGCCTACAGAAGGCTCTCAGTTTGATCTCCAGTGTAGCAAAAAATAAAGGGGTGGGGGTGCCTTTCACATAATACAGCACAAGAGTTTAAGGTCAGGACCTCTGACATCAAAGAGACCTGAGTTAAGTCTCAGGCTTATCTGCCTGAAAGCCCCTGTCCTGGGACCTACCTCCATTCCTTAATTTTCGGCTTCCTCAGTAGGATCAGAGGATTGGACCACATCCTGCCTTGGGTAAGGAAAGACAAGAAGCCTTATGCAAACGTGGAGCCTCCATCGGTACATTATTACCCCGAGCCTTTGTTTCCCAGGCCCCCTGAGCACCATGTCCGCGCCTCCCGCCAGCAACGGGGTATTCGTGGTCATCCCGCCCAGCAACGCCAGCGGCCTCCGCCCGCCTCCCGCGCTTCTGCCCCCCTCCATGTGCCAGCCTCCAGGGGTCGTGCAGTTCGAGGAGCCACCGCTGGGGGCGCAGGCGCCCAGGGCCACCCCGCAGCCGGACCTGCGTCCAGTGGAGACATTTCTGACCGGAGAGCCCAAAGCTTTAGGGGTAAGAGCAGCAACTCCCGAAGGTCGGARGCCTAGGTGCTGGGCAGGTAGTGAGCGCCCAGCCGCGGGGCATCCAGGACCCCCGGGAAGGGGCAGCAGGCAGTGGTCAGATACTTGAGGAGGTCTGGGTCCTGCACCAGAGAGCCCAGGACCCCGCCCCGTGGAGCTCACGGGGAACAGATGACTCAGAGAACTAATGAGGCTGATGAGGAGGTGAGGGTGGGGGAGGGGCGRCACCAGCTAGGGCCGGGAAGTTCTCCTGGGGAGCTAACCTTGAAGCTAAAACCTAAATGTCAGGTTGAAGGCAGTCAGGGAAGATCGACCCAGGGTGGGTGAGGGGAAGGATCCTCAGAGTGGAGGGGACAGCAAGTGTAAAGGGCTCTGGGTGGGAGGGAGGTGGCTTGTTCAAGAACAGAAACAGAAGGTTGTCAGGGCTGGGATGTAATGAGCAGAGGAAGGAGGGACAGGGGACCAGGGGACCAAGACAGTGTAGCCAAGAGCCAGCTCCTGTCATCCACAGCAATGATGGCCTTCACGCTCTATTCCAGTCTCGGTGGCGTTGAGATATTATTCTCTTGGAGGGAATAAAATATTGGATGGTTGGATAGACGGACACRCCCTTGMGTGTTGCTTAGAAGAAAATCTTTAMACAAATTACCTTCAACAGTTTATTTGAGCGAAGAATGATTCACRCATGGGGCAGCTGTCAGAACCAGAAGGCATTCAGGGAGGTCCACCCAGCAGCRGGAGTGGCCCCAGGGGAACCCAGGAGCCAGGTGGCAATGTCGCCTGATTGGCTGCAGCTAGGCGCCAGCTTGTTGGGATGGGGTGGGATGAGGCACTTGCCTTCTGTGGACATGCCCACCCAAACTGGGATGGATGAGGGAGAGACTGSGAAATGAAAAGGATGCTCGAGGCCATGTTTATTGCAGACAGCAGGGGACAGGAAGGGTCAGGGAGGTGGTCAGTGCAGAGTGTTGGGACCAGGAAAACCAGAGAGCCACAGAGCCATGCTGCAGAACCCGGACTCAGACCACAAAGCAGATGCAACCCGCAGGGATCGTTGCCCTGTGGGTCCSGTGGCTGCGGGGAGCTGGCTTTCTCTTAAAACTGTCTCTTTGGGATGTTATAATGATGTCGCCTCCAAAGAATGGGATCTGAGTTCCTTGGCCAGCGGCGCTCTCCTCTCGGGCCGGCAGGGGGCGGCGTGGAGCCGGCGGCCCGCGGGCTGAGCCCTGGCTGCTTCCCGCAGACGGCGCAGATCCTCATCGGCCTCATCCACCTGGGCTTCGGCAGCGTSCTGCTCATGGTCCGCCGSGGCCACCTGGGGATGCTCTTCATCRAAGGCGGCGTCCCCTTCTGGGGAGGAGCCTGCGTGAGTGCCGGGCCATCTGAGGGGCCCCCACCCAGTCTCACCTGTCCCCCTGCCTCACCCCCACATTGTCCTAGGCTCCTCTCCTCCTAGCTGGGACCTAAAGCACTTCCTACGAGAACCAGAGCCTAAGTCCAACTCCTGACCCCCAACCTGAGCCTGACCTAGGTAGGGAAGGTTCCAGCAAACAGCCGGAGCAGGCTGCCAAAAAAGGATGGCCCAGCCACATGCCTACCACCTGAGCCTAAGGCTCACCCCACCTCCAAACCCCTSGGCTCCCTCTGAACTCTACCCCAGGGAGTCTGACCAGCCCAGAAAGCCCTGCGCCCATTCCTCTGACCACACCTCACTGGCCAGCTGCCCACCCTTGCTGGASAACCAGGTGAGGGCCTCCTGATCATCTCCAGTGAGAAAGGCGCATTTCAGTGTTTGCAAAGTGAACGCCGTTCGCGCCTTTGCAAAAGCTTTGGGGTCAGGCCAGTGGGGTCTGAATCCCAGTCCCACCACTTATGATCATGACGTCCCTTAGGCAAGTCACTGAAACTCAAGCCTCAACTTCCTCCACTAAGAACTGGGTTCCTAGCCACAGCCCTGACCACTCCACAGTTTGCTGAGGAAATCAAGAGATGATACAGAACAGAGCCAGTGACTAGCCCTCAAGTTCTGCAGCTAATGGCGACTACCRTTTGTGAGGACTCCCCTGATGGAGAGAGTCAGGTTTGCAGGAGGGCCTCCTGGGGAGGCAAACACAGACACAGCATCTTTCTTCCCCTGTCCAGGCGGCCTCCAGCAAGAGGCCAAACCCCCAAAAAATGGGGTCCAGAGAGGCCAAAATTGCTGACACGCCATGGCTAGAGAAGGATGGTCACTTGGCCATGCTTGGGGACTGGCGCTAACTCTTAACGGTCCAGAGTGACCCCAAAGTTGGAGGAAAATGTGGGCAACTGGACACTTTACAAGAAAAAAAAAATCACAACAGGGAGAAAGAAAGGAGTCCCCTTCTTTCCTGAGCTCCCTCCTGCCAGGCTCTGTCACACAACATGCCTCAGAGGGACGTCAAACATGGTGGAAGGGAAAAATCAAAGTAAGAACCTGCTCTTCAAGCTCAGGAGACATCAGGGTCGGGAGACCCAGGCAGGACTTCCCCAGCCTCAAYACCTAATCATTCCATGGGGTCTGCACACTGCTGGCCTCTGGGGACCCCAGAAAGTCCACATGGATAGCTTTCCTCAGAGGTTCACGGGAGTCCTCACGGGCACAGAAGGAAGGAGACAGGACAGCTGAGCCATGGCTCCAGCTGGGACTCCTCTGTGCAGCCCTGGGCCAGTCACTGCCCCTCTCTGAGGCTCAGCTTCCTTGTTGGCCTCCAGCGCTGGGAGCTGGACTCTAAATCCAGTGCCATCTTGACACAGCCAGTTGATGCTGAAGAGGCAACTCCACATCTCAAAACTAAGCTCAGTTCCCGCCCCGTTTCCAACCCTACCCCTCCCTCATCTTGGCAAAAGACACCGCCATCCATCCAGTTGCCAAAGCCAAAAGCATGCCAAGAGTCATCCTGGACTCCTCCTCCCACTCCCACATCAGCGCACCAGCAGGGCCAYGGACTTGSCCTCCARRGCAAGGCTGCGCTGGCCCACCTCTCCTCCGCTATCGCACACCCTGCTGCTCACTGCCTGGACGGCTGTGGTGGCTCCCTCCTACTCCTGACCCCCTGTGTCCCCAGGGCCTCTGGGACCTCACCGCCTCCCTCTGGCCTTTCATGTGACCCGTCCCTGCACCTCTCCAGCATGGCAGCAGCGAACCACAAGCTGCCAGGCCTGCTGAGTGCGGGGCCCAGAACCGCTGAGTGCCACTGCCACCTGCCCGCAGTCCAGCCGGTCACAGAGCCAGCCTAGAGACGACTGCCCAGCCCATGGGCGCCATGAGGCAGGTCCCTCGGGAGCCATCCCTGGAGCCGGCCTCTGCACCCCACAAACTCTGCACCTCTCCCTGCAGCTCAGAGGCCTCTCCTGTCCATCCTCCAACCTCAAGTACCCCCAGCGGCTCCTGGTCACTACRCCCCCACCTTTCTCCAGTGTTTGTGAAGTGTCTGTGCTGCCCAGCAGGACAGAAGCCCCGTGAGGGCAGGGATATGATGTCAGTGGGACACCTACCTTGGAAGCGCTGGCCCCAATTCCCTGCACAGACCCTCACAGACTCCTTTAGACCCTTGAGAGAGACCCCGAGGTGCCTGGCCAGAAGGCAGACAGCTTGGTGGCCAGGAAGCAGCTGCTGCCCTGTCCCTGGTACCCGTGACCTCTTCACAGAGCCCTGGCAAAATGTGCCCTGGACAGCGTCCCTGCCGAAGCCTCACTGGACCCCTCTTTCCCACAGTTCATCATCTCTGGGTCCCTCTCTGTGGCAGCCGAGAAGAACCACACCAGCTGCCTGGTRAGTGTGAATGGCCGTGGGGACCAGGGGCAGAGGGGGCCGAGGCGGATTCCACTCCGCTCCCCCCACCCGCCCACTCCCTCATGTGGCTCATTCGACAAGCGTTTCCTGGACATCTGCTTAGTGCCAGAGACAGGRCAACCAGACATAAAGTGCACGTGGACAGGAGGAGACAGGACACACTTCCAAATACAATCCAGGGTAGAAAGGGGGCGACCAGGGATGCAGCGCTCACCGTCACCCAGAGAGAGGGAGACACACGAGGTGCCCTGGGAGAGCAGGCAGCCCTGCGGGGCCTGGTGGGCAGGCGGTTCTCACAAAGGCCTCCACCTGAGCTCTTTCCACAGCAGGAGGGAGGCAGAGGCCTGCTGCCAACCTTGCCCAGGGAGGCCACAAAGGCGACCAGGCCCTTCTCCCTAGCAGCTTCCAGAAGGAAAGGGAAGCAGAGGGCATCCTTCTGCGGCCCCAGGGACGAAGAGGAGAGGAGAACAATCCAGGAGAGCAGCCAGGCCCAGGGAGCAGGGCCACTGCTCCCACGGTCCCTGAGGCGGGGTGGAGGAGGCTGGCGTGGCCAGCTGCCGCCCCTGTCCTTTCTCCGCTGTCTCTTTGCCCTGGTCCTTTCCCTCATGTCCCTCTCCGTCCGGCAGGTGCGGAGCAGTCTGGGGACCAACATCCTCAGCGCCATGGCGGCCTTTGCTGGAACGGCCATTCTGCTCATGGATTTTGGTGTCACTAACTGGGTGTGTCGCCAGTGCCCCCAACTTGGAGAACAGTAGAGCCACACCCAGGAGGGGACGGGAAGTGACAGTTTGCAGCCCCAGAGTACTGAGGGTCTGTCAGTCCTGATAGATCCCACAAATGGGCAGCAAGGGGAACCAGGAAGCAGCCTGGGAGGGTGAAGGGGGTGCAGGATGGCCCAGGAAGAGTGGTTGCAGGCACAGCTGGGACACCCCGCGGCAACCTGGCACCRGGTATTCCCACTGGGGTGGGAGGTGCTTGTCACAGGCTTGCCTTGACTGTGGGCTTTGGTCCCCAGGATGTGGGCAGGGGCTATCTGGCAGTGCTCACCATCTTCACCATCCTGGAATTCTTCATCGCAGTCATTGCCACCCACTTTGGGTGCCAAGCCACACGTGCCCAAGCCAACGCGGTGAGTACTCCCACCCTACGCCAAGTCATATATGGCCCTYTAGGGAGGGCTGTGGGCATTGAAGGCTCCCTGCCTCCAGCCTCCTCCCACTTCCCTCTGGAAAGCACGTGGAGGGACTGCCGTGCAGCGACATCACCAGTCCCAAACAAGTCCTCGCACATCCATGAAGATGAGACTGTTCACCCCGTGGCCACGCGGGGGCGCCGCTGCGCTGAGCCTGCGGGCTGAGCCAAAGCCTGGGCTGGGATTGGGGGACTCTCCAGGAATTCACTATAAGGGAGACACGGACATTGGAAGAGGTAGCATGACTGGGGTGGAAATTGAGCTTATTTTCCGAGAAGATGGAGAAAAGGGAAATCAAAAGGGGGGCCATGGGGAGCATTCAAAGTCGAGGAACCACTTAGAGCAAAAGCTGCCTGGGCAGGAAAATGAAGCGCAAGGGGTGGAGATTGCTGCCGGGGTGGGGTGGGAGGGCTCCTGAAGGTCTTGGGCAGGGGAGTGAGCTGGGTTCAGGAAAACAGTCCAGAGGACTGGAGGCCAGAGCTATGGGCCAGCAGTTCCTGTGAATGGAAGTCCTCAATCAGGACAGGGACAGTCCGGAGAGATCACACGGGAGGATTAGCTCCTAGAGAAATGGGATTTTTGTCTGCTTTGCTCACTGCTGTGTTCCCAGTGGCTGGGTAGTAGTTGGACCCAGCAAATGTTTTCCTAAATATTSGCTGAATGAATGACAAATTCCGAGCTTGCAGTTCCCGCTTGCAGGATGCGTCTGGAGGGTGCTGCTYTCAGAGTGCCCACAAGAGGGCACTACTGTAACACACCCCGAAGGCCTCAGAGGGCTCCAGGACTTTGACTGGGTTCCTTTTCTTCGCAGTCTGTGATTTTCCTGCCAAATGCCTTCAGCACAGACTTCAACATCCCCAGCCCAGCAGCCTCCCCGCCCCCTGCCTATGACAATGTGGCATATATGCCCAAGGAGTCCTCCGAGTAGCAAGCTGTGACTCACACAGGTTGGAGTCCAGCCTTTACCCTCTCTTCCGACTCTCCCCACCCCCGCCTTGCTCATAGAGGGCAGCCCTTCCCCAGGTGTCCCCTCCAAGCCACACAYGTGGTGGCACTAAGTGTTCCCCAGGGGTTTCTTTCCAGGGTTCATGTCCTTCAGTCCCTGAGCCCTGCCCACCCTTCCAGGGATGTCCCCTGGTGCTGCTCRGGGTTTCTCTCTGCTCCCTGGGGGAAATCCCGACCTCGGTGGAGACTCAGATTGAGACCTAGCCTAGCCCACAGGACTTTGGAAGGTCATTAAGTTCAGAACCCAGAATGTTCCAGAATGTTGTGGTACACAGTGAAGCTGTCCTCCCTTCCCAGGGTGGCTGGGGACCCTTCTGTGCCTTTCCCTGCTCCTCCCCCACCCCCACTGCCTGAGGAACAAGGCTGTCCCTGAAGGTGTCCATGGGACCTGGACTGGGTCTCCTAGGGACGTGGACGACACCTTCAGCCCAGTATCCACAGGTCCTGGTGCGTGGTTTGTCTCATCCACACCACAGAGGAAAATAAACTGTGTGGCTTAAATTTCAAGTTTGTCTCATGGCAATGACTTACTTTTTTAASCTCAGGAACTTCTAAGGGTGGACTTAGGTTTATCAGAGGTCCTGAGAAGAAGGGAAGGAATCAGGGAGGAAAAGAGAAGGAGAAACTAAAGGAAGAGGGAGGTTAGCCCCAAGTTGAGACCACAGCCCAGCCCACTGTCCTCTGCTAACCAAGTCCCTCAAAGGTTGTGTGGGGGCCACATATCACAGATTAGTTAGGAGGAATTAAAGAGCTGGGATACTCCCTCGAATCCCAGGCTGGAACTTGAGGAGACTGGAAGTCCCCTAGAGATGTCCCCTGTCCCGACAGCATGGAGCCACAATGTAAAGATGGCTGCAGCTGTGCCGGGACTGTGCCCCCACGTGCATTCCAGGGAGGGCCAGATGTGCAATGTGGATTTTTGAAGACTTTACAGCAAATAAAAGGGACAGTGTCCACCACTGAGAGACTTCAGCAGAGGTCACCAAGAACAGAACTTGTAAATTGGAAGTCATGGAAGTGACTGGGTCATCCTGAATTTGCAAGTTTAATCTTTCTAGCTCTGAGAGGCAAAGGGAGGTAGAGGGGTAATGTCCATGGAGAAGAAGAATGCTGGGAGCTACAGAACTATTAAAAGAAATTAAAGAAGGTCTACGTAAACGAAGAGAGATATACTATGTTCATGGATGGCTTGATTCGTTAAAATGTCATCCTTCTCCAAAATGTATCCAGAGAGTCAATAGAATCACATTCAAAATTCCGGTGGTCTGTTTGAGAGGAAATTGACAGCTAATTCTAACATTCCTGTGGAAATTCAAAGGACCTAGTACACCCAAGAAAAACTCAAAGACAGGCAAAGTTGGAGGACTGAAATGACCAGACTTCAAGACATGGTGTAAAACAATAATTCGGAAAACATAATTTTCATGCAAAAAATAAACAAACAGACCAAGGGGACAACAAAGCCCAGAAAGAGACCCTCACTGAGTCACTTGAGCTATGACAGAGGCCCAAATGCAGTTCAGTGGAGAAAGAATGTTCTTTTCAATCGATGGTTCCAGAGGAAATTGGATATTGGTATAGAAAAGAAAATAAACTTTAATTCCCTCCTTGTACCATACATAGAAATTTATTCTAAATGAGTCCTAGATCCAAACTTTAAAATTAAAACAAGATTCTAAAATGATAAGAAAAATATCTTTATTACTTTGGGTTAAGCAAAGATTTCTTAAACTGGACACACACAAAAATAAACAATTTTCATAAACAAAAAGACTGATAAGTTGGAATTTATTAAAATTAAGAACTCCAGTTTAGCAAAAAAT